ATGTAGTGTATGTAGTAATTCAGTGGTTATATCTATATTGTCGATGTTAGTGAGTATTCCGTGTGACGTGGGTTCGCCTGGTGTATGTAGTGTATGCAGTAATTCAGTGGTTATATCTATATTGTCGATGTTAGTGAGTATTCCGTGTGACGTGGGTTTGCCTGGTGTATGTAGTGTATGCAGTAATTCAGTGGTTATAGATATTGTCGATGTTTGTAAGTATTCCGTGGGACATGGGTTCGCCTGGTGTTATATGTAGTGTATGTAGTAATTCAGTGGTTATGTATCTATTGTTGATCTTAGTGAGTAGTCCCTGTGACGGCTCGACGACGATTCCTCCAACTGAGTGCATTTGCACAGCGACTACGGAGACGGAGTGCGCCGGCAGGTGTGGCTGCCTAACGAAGACCATTATCTGCACAGAGTTCACCGACGCCTGTGGCGGAGTGTGAGTAGTAACAGGGCGCAATATATGTTTGTATATATATATCTATATCTGTCTATATAATATATATATATATATATATAACAATGGGAGTTGGTATTGCGTATATAGGGGTCGCATCTTTTGCAATAAGCACGCTTTTTCCAGAGCGCCCGAGGAGACGACAGAGACGTGTTTGACGGGAGGTCCGATCCGCACGTGTCGTGGGAGATGCTGTGGTGGCTGGGAGCTAATAAGGATAGGCAGGAGGAGACGATGTCAGCCGCCGCAGTAAACATACAAGCAACTACTAGCGCAACGATGCGACGTCGTCTATCGTAAGTTTAGCTATATACTCTGAGAAAGAATGCGAAACGAAGAGAAGCGTGAGAAAGAATGCGAAACGAAGAGGAGCGTGAGAGCGAGAGTGAGAAAGGGGCAGCGAGAGTGAGAAAGGGGCAAGGGGAAGAAAGGGAGACGAGAGAGAATGAGAAGAGGGGGGGGAGAGTGTGGAGAGAGAGAGAGAGAGTAAGAAAATGAAAAAAAGACATCGAGAGAGAGAGAGGGGAAGGGGTAGAGAGCGCGAGCGAGCAAGAGATAGAGGGAGAGAGAGAGAAACCGCGTTGGAGGTCAGTACACTACAGGTCAGTATCACGCTTATTCTTTACAACATACATTACAGGTTGCACCCAGAAACGGAACTAAGCCAGATGATACATAGCGTTAGCTGCCAGGTAAACGGGGGACACAGACCAGGACAGCTCATGCCTGATTCTCCGGTTGCAATATTTCCATTATTGGGAATGTGCAGAATCTTCAGGGGCAACCTTCAGTGTTGCTTCTCTCAACAAAGATATATATTCGTATATCCTGAATGCCATTATATAATTCTAGGTGAAATGACATGAAATGAAATCATGCTGTAAAACGATTTGCGGAAGAATTGCGCTCTAGACTACCAGCAAAGGGCAGTGTTAGAGCTTTAAAATAAAAACCACTCGCCGAACTGGGCGAGTGATCGAGTCAATAAGTTAACTCGCCCAAACGGAATCTGTACTCGCCCAAATTTTAAAACAAAAATGCTTGTCAAACAATAGTGAAAAAACACCATTGATTTAACTACAGATGTAATTCATTGATCACTTTTCTCAAAAATTCAAGACTCATCTCCTCTGAAAGTTCCTGTTTTCATTTTCATTTAATTTACTTTTATTCTCGGGCTGCTTTGCCCCATCAATGAAACGCCACGTTACGCCAATTTTATTTACCAAGGCCAACGTGACTTTTAAACAATCCTGCAGTCCCCCCGCCCCCCTCCCCGTACATCAATCCCCGTACATTATTTTTACTCGCCACCATGGGCGAGTGAGCTTTAGCTTTCACTCGCCCGATATTATTTTTACTCGACATTGGCGAGCGGGCGAGTGCCAAGCTCGCACGCTGAAAGTGGTATTTTCACAATGAGAGCAATAAATTACACGTATATTATACGTAGCTGCTATGCATCTAGGACTTAAAATTGTTCTTAATTTCTTTTCCATGTTCTTCATTAATGCACATTGTATAGATTAGAGATACGATAAGAGCTTCATTCACGCTACGAAAAATCCACGAATACTGCCGTATCGAATCTGCTGCTTACATTGTTACCAATGTTAGCAGCAGTTTCGAAAACGCTACCGTCTTTGTCTGATGAATGATGTTGCTTGGGCTTGTCACCAGGTCGCAGCAGGTTAGCGATGGCAGAAGGAGCGTACAACGGAAGACAGGATAGAGTTTTCCAACAGTAAAGGCACCCAGTAGTAGGCCTGAAACAGCACTATATGTACAAAGGTCAATTAAAAATACTTAGAGAGTTTATAGGCGCATACGCCACATACACTTTATTCATGCTAAATGACTGCAGCTTCAAAGTCCAATCCTCACTCGAAACATTTGTCAGATTGTTTTGGAGATATTCCAGTATGTGTGTCGGACACCGTTTCACTCACAAACGCAGCAGCGCGGTCGCCATGGATACGACACTCCACAGATTTACATAATTTTCCCACAAAACCAGTTTAAGTTTAAATGCTTTCCAAACGTCGATCGGACATCTATCTCACATGAGCAATGCAAATTTCGGCACTGTAACGACTGAAAAATTGAGAAAACTGCTCGTTTATAGACAACGCTACTGTGACAATTCTCGTATAAGATGGAACACTTGACCGCCTGTTGGATCACGCCCAAGCTCATCACGGACCAATAACTGCCAAGGGAATGGCAACCTGTTCTGCCAGTGGCGCACGCACGCACGCACACGCACACACACACACACACACACACACACACACACACACACACGCACACACACGCACACACACACGTACGCGCACCCTACCTTAGCTCCTACTACCCTTATATCTGATCTCCTCCACTACAACTTCCTCCTCTTCCCGACTTCTCTATGTATGCCACTATTCCACTCTTCCTCTTCTTCCTCTCACTCGGCAACTCGTCGGCTTTTCCACCATGAATGGTTATGTCACTCGCTGTTCGTTAATTTCCCATACCGTCAGGGATAATGTCCTATCAGATTCACTGTTAATTCGTAAGATATAGAAAGAACAACATACTATGTAAAGCCACACTATGTAAACAACATCAGAGCACACTCCATCGGACTGTGTGATCAATGCTGAATCAATCAAGAGGGTTCCAGAAGGGTTCCAGACGCGGCCGCCAGTGAATGACGATGATGATAGAAAGCACAGCAACACAAGACTCTATACACAGAGTCGTGTACTCTCTTCTCCTCTCAGAATGTGTAAGAGAAAGAAGAAGAGGAATGTTTATGTATTTGATATAGTTTGTAGCGTAGTTAACTATGTATAAACAAATGGGTGATAGAAGAGACTGGTGGTAGGAAATATGAGATATAGGTGTATGAAATGAAATTGAGGTGTGTCTCTATCCACGAGAGAACGTGTGGGAAAGTGAACCCCTCCTCTCTCTCCATTCCACCACCTCTATTTGTTTCTCCAACTCCATTGCTTCCTTCCTCCCCTCTCGCGGATGGTATCGGCCCTATACGCAGTAGCACGGGAAAAGTTACGCAGGCAAATGGCCGTAAATCGGCTAAAACTTTTTCATCCCCAGAGAGAGAGCGATAGAGAGATGATGTTGTTGCCTGCCATGTTGGCCCGCAGAGAAATCGTACCTATGAGCTTGTCTTATTCGTGAACGTCGTTCCAGTCTATATATGGCTTCGTTCGTTCGTGACGAGTCGGGTGCGTAGGCTCGTGATCCGCAGCCTATCTTAGAATCTCGCCGCTTGCCTAGCTGGCTCGGTTGGTAGCGTCCGCGTGCGGAACCGCGGGCTGCCTCCACGGTCTTTTAACCCCCGAGACGCAGGTCAGGGGATCGTGTCTCGGTGTGGTTGGCCGGAAATTTTTTTTGGATATTTAAATGTTTTAATTATAATGCAATGCAATGCAATGCAATGCAATTGTGATTCGAAGTGTGATCGTTAATCTGATTCGACGCATCATCGCGAACTACGCGCCTCTAACAACACGCACACTTGTCGGATTCCACGGACAACACGGATTCTCTACATACGTACCAGCCGTACCAATATCAATACCAGGCCGTCCGAAAACTACATGGAGGAGGTCGGTCGAAGCGGAAATCAAAGCAGAGGAACACACCTGGGACGCCGAGTCAGGTGGCGACGTTTTATCAGTGGCGTTTATTCACATCAAACTCGTACGATAAAAATGTAGTGAAATGTGTAGTAATTATTAGCTCCTGATTCAATCTATATATGTATGTGAATAAATAAATTCAAACTATTAAGTGTTGGCATAATTAGAGAGTGTAGACACAGAGCTCAAGGGACCCGTTGTCGGAAAGAAAGGAAGTCCTAACATTAGCCTCAGTTGAACATTGACAAGAATGAAAACTCAGAAAATTTCTTCATAGCTGTACAAATTTAATGTTATTTGCTGGTGCATAAACTTTAATTGTGTTACCATTTTTAGTGGGTAATAACCTATTATTACAATCACCGGGGCTTCATTTCTATTTTTTAAACTTACTACATTGTAAATTATTACATTTGCAGGTTTCATACAAGTATACACGTACACAATTTCCCCATTTTCATTGCTTGTACAATGTATTTAGAGGTTAACATTCCTCTTTGTTCATATACATCATGTAGTTAGATGTGCATTAAACATAAATCAATATATATGCTTCGCAAGTTAATTACATGTATGTCTGAGTGTGCAATTCTGTTGTGTTAGAATTAAGAAATCCAGGGAGCAAAAAGACATCCATAAATAAATGATATGACCGAGAATGAACTGAACGAGAAGAACTGACACTGCATATGATATCGACCTAACATACCCCACAATAAATATCATACACACACGTACAAATCCAAAAAACAAAAAGCACAGGCAGATAGTCGATCGGTTCAGTACAGAAAACAAACGCGCGATCCAACTTTTCAGCTATGTACAAATGACCTATGACCCGATGACATCATAGGGCGCCAGTGCGTAACTACGAACTGGCTTAATAACTGTTTAATCGGTAGAATGTCAGTCACATCACCCCTGATTGCATCAAGAGCTAATAATACCTAGAGTGTACAACGAAAAAACGGGAAAATAGTGCTGTTTCACAACAACATTATTCTACTTTGCCTGCGAGTCTAGAATAATTTTATGGTATTGTATTAAGCAGAATTAAGAAAACATTGCCGGCTCCACATGCATTAGCCGTGCTAGGAAAGATAATGGGAGATAAGGGCATAGGCGATGCCCAAGAAAGTCACCGAAACGCCGTTCATTCATAAAGTTATCGCGGAAAAAACCGAACTCTCACGAAGCAACCTTAGATGCAATGTAGGTTGGTGAATAAGCTGGATGCGAGGCGGCGTAAGGCATGTGGGAGGGGAGGTTTAGGAGCCAATATCTCAGCCTAGGAGTATCGTATTGACAAGCGGTTGTTCTTGTTTTAGAGAGCAAAGAATTCTGCTTAATGCAATAACATAAAATTATTCTAGACTCGCAGGCAAAGTAGAATAATGTTGTCGTGAAATAGCACTATTTTCCCGTTTTTCCGTTGTACACTCTAGGTATTATTAGCTCTTGATTGCATGCACATCGCCTTTCAGAATTTCTTCTCTCATACAAGCCTGAGTGTACGTCACTGGAGTCTACTGGAGAGAGTGCATCCGTATCCACACGTTAAACCTCTGACGAATTAGCTGTTTAACCCGCAAACCCGTCCATCACATCACTCACGATTGATTGTACATGGCCTTTCTTCGGTGCGACTGCGTGCGCATGTGTTGCGAGAGACTCGCCGGCTGCGAACACCTGTACTCGCATACATCGCACGCGTAAGGTTTCTCTCCCGTGTGCGTGCGCGCGTGCACCTGCAACCCCTGACTCTGGGTGCATCGGTACCCGCACGTGTCACACACGTACGGTTTCTCTCCCGTGTGCGTGCGAAAGTGCTTCCTCAGGTCGCAGGAGGTGGTGCAGGTGTAACCGCATACATCGCACGCGTACGGTTTCTCTCCCGTGTGCGTGCGTAAGTGGGTCTGGAGATTCCCCAGATGAGAACTCCTGTACTCGCATACATCGCACGCGTACGGTTTCTCTCCCGTGTGCGTGCGATTATTTTTTCAGGAACTGCATCACTTTTGAGGAAGTTGAAATGCACAGCTGTCCCTCACGTTTTTCCTTGGAACAATCTGTGCTCACCCAGTTCTCTGGTGCGGACGGAAAGTGTGAGCAAACAGCAAAGGGTAACTCAAAGGCAGCTCAAGTTGGAGGACATGCAGCGGCTTAACGCCTTATTTGAAATTGGTGCCGAGGATGAAGTTGTGGAAAGTACAGTAAAACCTCGTTATAATGCCCCTTGTAATACCGCCAATGTCACTTATCGCCAGGAAAATGCCAGTTTACAGATAATTTGTACATAATTTAGCCTCGTAATACCGCCCCTTGTTAACCGCCAACCGCCAGCATTATGGCTATGTACAATTCTATATAAATGCATTGAAAATACACTCGTTATACTACCATCAAGTGTTGGTCAGTATCGGTTGATCAGTTTCTATGGTAACATACACACGGCACATCCATGCGAGTCCTATGTAATAGCAGTAGTATTTAGCGGTATAGTACTAGCAGTAGAGATTCCGCCCCTATCATCACTTAAAATGACTGGTGGGAAATTTTTGCTCAGAAAAACTAAATATAGCTGAATATAGTCTCACCTGACAGCGAAAATATCACTGATTACACCAACATTAAAAATACTAAGATTTTATGCAGTTATAGCATAGAAAATTGGATATGAACACATCGTAATAGCAATCCATTTTATCGTGTCGCGACAATGCCTAATAGCAGAATTGGTAAACTTGTATTTGTGTCGATGATTAATTGAAAACAAGTGCATGATTTGAGAGAGCCATGCTTTGTCTATGGCAGATAAGCGGTGGCGCTGTTGTACCCAGACTTGGAATTTGTACAATCTTGAGATCACGCAGTGATAGTGCTGCCCAAACTGCGGATTTCCTAGTTTGGCTGCCCAATCTCAAGATTGAGCACGCTGAAAACAGTCGCTTATTCAACTACACTTTTAAAATGGCGATTGTGGCATATGCGAGTATAACTGAGGCAAACTAGGAAGGAATTTCTCTAATGGTTATCAAATTATCTAATATATTCATTTAATTATTTATTATTTTAACAAAGACACATTTGCCAAACACATTGAAGAAAACCGATGAAATTAACATATGTAGGCTATGAATTCCAAGTTTGTGCAAGCCCTGCTCACCTTGCCCAAACTAGGTTTTGCCTAATCTCAAGATTGGTTGCCCAAACTGCGGATGCGCTGAAATTCCAAGTTTGTGCAAGATTTCAAGTTTGGGTACAACAGCGCCACAAGCTAATCCACACTTCCGCCTAGTTCAAGATAACAGAAAACGAATGTTTACGAAACTAGTTCGAAACCAGTAGTTCGAAACTGGCAGTTTTTGGTGAATACGAAGGTTCTAAAGACATTTTATTGTTACTCTAGACAATTGCTGTTACTCAAGCAATAACGGTAGGTGTCATAAAAGTGGTGAAAACACTGGAAAATTCTCGCAATAATCGCTTTAATACTCGGAGGTCAATTCAGACTATTGCGATATTTTGAGTCGAACGCATATTCTAATGAACGTGACATTTCTGCCGTGTCCCTCCTACAATCTCGCATGGATTCACTCATTTCGGAATGTTCTAAACAGAAGTCAATTTCAGACTTTTTTATAAAAGATTGAACCCCAGACTATCAAAATACTGCACGCAAACTTAAATGTACATGTACATGTGCTGAAATCCGGACTAATGAAAACACGGAAACAACCATGAAACTATAATATTTTTATTTTAATAGTAATTCAGTTATAAAACAAAGAATGTACTCGCATACATCGCACGCGTACGGTTTCTCTCCCGTGTGCGTGCGCGCGTGGATCTGGAGATTCCCCAGCTGAGAACACCTGTACTCGCATACATCGCACGCGTACGGTTTCTCTCCCGTGTGCGTGCGCGCGTGGATCTGGAGATTCCCCAGCTGAGAACACCTGTACTCACATACATCGCACGCGTAGGGTTTCTGGCCCATGTGTGTGCGAACGTGCTTCTTGAGGCTGTCGGAGGTGGTGTAGGCGGAGCCGCATATGTCGCACGCGTACGGTTTCTCTCCCCTGTGCATGCGCGCGTGTCTCTGGAGATGTTTCAGCTGAGAACACCTGTACTCGCATACATCGCACGCATACGGTTTCTTTCCCGTGTGCGTGCGCACGTGCGCCTGCAACCGCTGATTCTGGGAGCATCGGTACCCGCACGTGTCACACGCGTACGGTTTCTCTCCCGTGTGCGTGCGAAAGTGCTTCCTGAGATCGCTGGAGGTGGTGCAGGTGTAACCGCATACATCGCACGCGTACGATTTCTTTCCCGTGTGCGTGCGCGCGTGCGCCTGCAACCGCCGACTCTGGGAGCATCGGTACCCGCACGTGTCACACGCGTACGGTTTCAGAGAAGAAGAAGAAGCAGAAGGAAGAGGAGAAGGTTCCATCGAGCGGGCGGTGGACGAGAGATCTAATTCTCCTCGATGCAGTTTCCTCTCTCACTTTCCTCCCTAATGCAAGTTCCTCTCACGGTCGTCTGCTTTCCTGCGGACAGAAAATATAGACCCCGGATAACTTCCCCTGCCTCACAGGACTGGAGGAAAAGCTTAGACTTATGCGGATTTCCACTTCCGTGAGTCTAATTTTTTTCGACTTAAAGCGATCATTGCGAGTTGTTTTCAGCGTTTTTTAGTGTTTATCCTCACTCTCATGATGCCTACCGTTGTTGCTTGAGTAACAGTAATTGTTTGAAATAACAATAAAATGTCTTAGAACCGCATGCAAAGACAAAATCATGCACAATTACAATTTTGCGTTCTCTTGTTGATTTTCGCTGTCATGTCTCGCACTTTCTCGCGGTACCGCGAGACGTCAACAAGGGTACAGTAATGCAAAAATCATCATGATTTTGTCTCAACCCATCATTGAATTTTTCAAGGTAGGGTACAGTAATATGGTCAATAACTGGTACAATAATATAGTAATATGGGAAATTTTTTCTGCGTACGTTTCCTGAGAGAAAATAGTTTCCGTATATTGGGCAGAGATGTAAAAGGCATCTAAGGGCCTCCTGCTATCTTTTCCCACCATCTAGATACATTTATAATCTGATCTACCCCTACGCAGAGATTAGAATAGAACATTTTTACATCTAGACAGTAACGTGTTCCAGAGATTGAGGCTTCCAGCTTCTCATGGTTCTAGGAAAGAAGTTGTATGTGAGCCAGTGATTGCCGCAGCTTACGCTGATGCTTGTACGTATTAGCTGGTATAATTCCATTTACTGTCGCAACAAACCTACGAACTATTGCAATTTGTCACGCATGATAATTGTGTATAATGGTTTGATATTTGGAAAGGTTACACCACCTGCATTTGACGTTAAAGGTCTTTGTATTTGTTCTCTAGCAATTTGTTAAGGAGAAGCAAATATGCTGTAATTTTCTCTTCTGGTATGTCAGCTAACATTCCAGCATGAATATCCATAAATCAGATTCTGTCGTAGTTCGGCAGATCCATGGAGTATTCTGCTTGTAGTGGGGTGGCGCGTTGCTGGTTTTTCTTGTAAAATTTCAACCTATTTATTAGGGGTGCACCGGAACTATCCGGCCAAATCCCCAATTTTTCAGAGTTCCGTTTCCAGCCAGAACATAAAAAGTTGGATCCGGTGCACCCCTACTATTAATTATGATAGCATAGATATTATTATGTGCTGATTACGTATGCTTGCCTTAGATCTGAGCACAATGCGTTAGTAAACAAGTCATTTTCTATAATGGCTAGTTACGTGTGTTTACGATGATTTTGCTACAAAACTACTAAAGTTACAAAAAAGTTGCAAACTAGGCAACTCGAGCCTCAAGTGTACGTGTTACTATTACTATTACTAATTTATTAAAATTGCAAGTTGCATCCTTTGACATTTTGTTTTCACATTTTTATAATAATTCAATTCAATTCAATTCAAAATGTTTATTTATCACAATTTGTTATATAAAGGTTAACAACAGTTTTATTAGTCGACAGCGGTGGTGGTCGAGAAGTATAGTTGATAAATTTAAGTTGAAGACCTGCAAATTACATGGACAATTTACAACAACTCAAGATCTTTGAAGAAGCAAAAACATGACATTACTACACAGCCAAGTTAAATTGATACAATAACATGGTATTACTATTAGCTTGTTGATAGATTTTGATAATAGTTTGCACGTAATTATACTAGGTACGTAAGACAACATCATTATATAACTCGAGTAACTGATAATAAATAATAAAATAGAAATAATAATATAAAATAGAAATAATGGTAGTAATACTAATAGTAATAAGTAGTAATAACTCGACTTATCACATGGCTATATTTAAAACTAATGCCGAGTTAACAACGTGTTACGACGAGTAAACAACGTGTTACGTAAGTTGCCTAGCGAGTCGGCCTAGTCTCACTGAGACTATCAGTCTGGGCTTGGTCCTGATTGTCTTGTCCTAAAATCTTAGCGTCATGCTTCTTCAGTTCTTCCTTTAATGTTTTGATAGTAAAATAGTTATATGCTGGCATGTTTAGCTGGTATAACTGATATATTAATAGCGTATGTCTGATTGTAAATACAGTGCTTCTGTACGTGCGCACATCACAATGTCAAAAGTCAAGACTCACTTGCCTATCAGCGCCACTCAGCGGATTAGTTCTGCCGGTTCCCCATTATAGGAGGTGTACAACAGTAAGCGTCCGCATCTAGAAAAGGTCTTTTTTTGGCATTTTTTTTCGCCGAAATTCGGCACTAGAGTGCAATAATTTGCATTATGCACGCAAGGTAGATGCCTCGTGGACGTCTAGAAAGCATTAGAAGTAAAATTTGCATTGTCGTGTAGTTGTGACATTCCGTCAGGTGGCGTAGCCACAGCGACCGGTTGTTCATTTTTGTGTTTGAAATGTGTTCAGACTACTTTGCAGAAATTCGCCATGAATAAAGTGTATGTTATGTATGCGAAGTAACAGTGTGAGTATTTTT